TGGACGAGTAACAAAAACCTTGTCATTAGGTAGAGGAAACGGGGGTGATTTTGTCGTCGATCGTCGTTTGCTCTTGAGCATATCACAGTGGAGAGTTGCATATTATTACAGTTAGCCAATAGCGTGTGTGCTTGATGACCTTGGTTGTAGTGACCAATTGGAAGGCGCGATGCGGTCGGTCCCAATGCACAGGCGAAGTTATCAAACACCTACTGACTAGGTGAAAAATTCAAGTGGTAAATTTGTTCACATTTAAAGCAGAATGGAAAACAAGGGCTTATTTCCTACAGGAAGGGTAAATTAACAAGTGATGAGGATTTGAGTGAATTCGCATGGAAACACGGGCGATCGTAACTCACGCCCCCCCCCACGCTCAAATGGACCTTTTATCAACTGAGCGACTGCAAACGACGACCTACTTCAAGGTTATCCACTCGGTTTTCCCAACAATTCGCCCCGGGCGACCCTAACTTAAGAATTTTTGACACAGAGTTTCTTTCCTGTAGAAGAAGCCTATATATGTTGGAAATCCAAAGAACACTGCACCGCTGCTTCATCCCCGTTGGGAATTATCAGCAGTGCGCACCTCACGAAACCCGAGAAATTTCAGGCCTGCAACATCCGGATAGTATTTTGAACAGTGGACCACGAGCAGTAGGATCTGAGGGGAAAGATGAACGGCACTATATCCTGTCTAGGTGTGAGCTATTCAACCGATCATAGCCAAACGATTAGATTTTCAGGAGATCGAGTTCGACACTCGCTGAATTTTCGCGAAGTGTGCACTGATGAGGATATCGAATAAGAATGGAACATCTGGCTTTTCAGCTTAGATTAGCTGAGCGAAATCTCTACTAAGAAAGTATACAGACTTTCCTAAATTCGCCCAAATACACGAAACGGTTCTGGGCAAGCGTTTTCGGGGTAAACAAAGACAATCACCATAGTTAGCGGTTTGCTTGCAATCGTCCGACATATGAGTGACAGCTGTTTGTTTTTGTTCATACAGTTGACGAATCCGAAAGTAAGTACTCACCCCAAAGTGTTGTTCAACTTCCCCTCGTTTATAACAAACCAGCAATCCTGTTTTTAATCACTCAAATCTGACTTTCTCATTGGTTGTTTAAAAGCACATTTTTTATGGGATGCTAGAAGGTGCAAAACGTTGCACCACCTATCATCTCGCGGTTGAACTCCGGTGTCTGACTGAAGTTTGTCCGACCCTAACTCCAGTGTGCTAGCACGCTTTGTGACAATTCCATCTTAAAGATGTGTGCAGACTCTTTCACTTGTGTACTACCAACTGTCCTTTGGATTTCGGATTTAGTGGATCGAGGAAGCCTCTGCCTAGTGCCCAGTTTGTCACGGCAATTGTCACCATCTTTTCGGTGGCACAGGCGAGTTAAAATCTAGTTTTGTCAAAACACCACTCGTATGTATATCGACAAGTTGGGTGACAAACTTGGTTGGCTTGTAGCATGTGCGATATTGACACCCACACAGCATCCAATCATCTTCCCTGGATCTGTGCAATGATGACTGTGTATAAGACTAATGAGGACTTCATCTCACCTGTCAATGTGTGAGAGTTGTGGGCCACAGTTTTCCCAATGCCTTCTTAATACTGTGAACCCGAGTCTGGATAGCCAAAACCAGAAAGCCAATGAACGTGCGAATCAGCTGATTTATTGATCACTGACGCGTACAGGCGTGCCATGTGCAGCCGAAAACGGGCTGCTGACGTTCTAGGCGGGCCAAAGAGTGATACGAAAGATAGAACTCATCTTTCAAGGACGAGTGAAGAACAACCGATCAAATCTGTCCCAACGAAAACGGTTATTTCATTGGTTGTTGTGTAGTCCAGTTACGTTCGTAGCTGGTTCCCCTAATAGTAGGAATTTTGTGTGGCGGTCGAATTCACTTCCGTCTGAACAGTCAACTTTCCATTCTGTTGTACTTATTCTGATGAGTACATACCAAAGGAGGGGAAGCACTGTACCCGAGTTTCCTCCTCATTAGAGCTCATCAGCAGTGCATATTCTTGGCCATGCCGGATTTCGGACTCGGGACATCTGAATTGTGAAGCGGGCAAATGACCAAACTTCCACCAGCGTACGTTGGACGCAGCTGGACCAGCGAACGTTTTCACACTTGAAAGCTGTGACTGGCTTGCCCTACTCCTCTTAACCGTGCCGATTGATTGACCTACTTGTCAGGAATTCCCTCGTTCCTCTTTCCACTTCCTTTAGTGTGGACTCACCAGGACAGCAGGAAGTCTGCTTTTGAACTTGAAATCTACAAGTCCCGCAAACACCTACAACGAATTTTATGTACTTGATGGGGGTGAGGGGGTGAAATTCTTTTATGTCAGACTTGAATAACTTGATGCTTATAACGCTCATTGTGTGCCGATGCAGTAGCCCGGAAATAAACACCAAGATTGGTAGAAAACACGGACCACTTCACATTAAAATTGTTCATGAATGTTCCTCTATTCTAATGTGAACTTTTAACAAGCAAAACCCTCGCTGTTTCAGAGAATTTACTGGAGAAGTTCCGCGACATCAAGCTACGTAAGTCCACCATCATTTTCATTCTGTGCATGATATCCCAGTACTTTTTAAAAATATCCCTGAAAATGTAGTCCGTGTGACTGCATAGACTACTGATGCGACCTACGAGTAGCAGCATATATTGAATCCGCTTTTGTCAGTCAGTCGGTTCGAGTTGACTGGTAATGCAACTTCATTCCACAAGCGTTAGGCAGCCAGCTGATGGTCGGAAAGCCTATCGAGTGGGCCCGATCACATGGATAGATTTGGACTGTTTTTGCGAACCATTCGAAGCCGACTAACCGAGAGAACTTACCAACTCCGCGAAGACCAGGCATCTTATTCAGTCAAGTAGAACGACTGTTCGTTTTTTCCCGCAGGGCACTACAAAAATAGTGTAATGACAAAACACCTAAGTAGGTAGGTGGCCCCTCGGCTGGCACACAATTTCAAGCGAGGACTAACCACAGGACAAGTGTTTTGTTGTGGGTAGCAGAAACGAACACTTGTCCGAGTATCTGGCCACAGTAAGAAGTGTACAGATCATTCAACAGAGCTCTTGGTTATACAGAAGTGAAGTTAAAATATGCTGAAAAGCTTAAAAGTACTGGACACCTCCCCGTCCGCAGTTCCGGGCGGTGTGCCCCTCACTGATAAGGCGAGATCTTCATTAAATATGCCCTGATTTTCTGATTCTCAAAAAAGCATGATTGATTGATTGATTGTTTTTCAAACAGTGACGACACACCGCTTAATCATTTTACCTAATACAGGCGGATGTGATATATGTGTTAGTCAGTTTTCAAATTTCAACCCGGTTTCAGACTGCGAATGAAACCAACCCGACTTCAGAAGCCCATAGGCATTGTACAAGCGCTTCAACCTTTTTTTGGCTAACTTAGCGGCGCTCACGAGTCTTCAGTGAGCGTGAAACTTACGAACGTTTCAGCTAGTAACTCAACACTACTCAGTCTGTCGCTGGCCAAGGCATGATTCACGCTGCTTTGGACAGAATATGGTGGAAATTGCCTTTAAGCGAACGATCTACGTCAGGTGATCTGGTGTTGACTAGATTTTCGAGTGACAACTACTCAGATGACAGGTACATGTGAGATTTACTCAGTTCCGAAACGTTAAATTTACATAATTTAGACATTTTGGGAGTTGTCCGTACGAACCGAAAGCATCATACGTGTTACTTCCTGAATTACACTTACATCAAAATGAAAAAGGGCTTCTAAAGGGGTAGTTTCACAAGATGAGTGGAACTCCCTTCTGAGAAGTCATCATCCGAGGAACCAGTCAATATGTGACCAGGTAATGTGGTTTCTGTGACTGTAGGATGACTGGTACTAGATCATGTCTAAGTGATAGGTATCAGTCGCTGGTGGCCAAACGATTAAGTGTTCAAACTGCTGATTGGGACGTCGTGGGTTCGAGAGTCCCTAGTGGAGATGCGCACTGCGGATGATTCCCAATAAGGATGGAAAAGTTGTGCAATAAATCCCCGGTCTTTCACCATAGACTTGTGGCTTCCCTTACAGGACGAAATCCTGTATACGAGAAGACCCCTAAATGCGGCTTTTGAAGGAGTAGTTTGAACCAAAAACTCGGACCTTATCACAAACACCTACTCCAAAAGGCCATCGCATCGCGCATCGCACGAACCCATGGTGACACCCAGTCAAAACGGCTGATCGACTAGTTGATGTACTCGCTGGAAAATATCCTGACCGAAAACCGCTTCAACAAAACTTCATCACCAATGGCGTGAGTAGTTTGGTGCCAGAACCTCAGTTGGACTTCGCCTTAAGCATCTTTGTGATGGTGAAACGAATTTTTCAACCTCAGTCTCCAAAAAGCCCACAAGTGGAACGTTTCCTGGTGCCGCGTTTCGTACTTGGTCTACGGCTTGATGACTTTTGCGCTGTAGTGCGAACAATCAAAGGCCCGTATTCCCCAGGGAGCTGTGACGAGGAATTTTCGGCCTTGCTACACAACAACCTTGTCAGAGAATCGTCCAGACCATGGTACCATGACATCGGAAAACAGTATGGTCGGATAGCAATTGATTGAAGCATCGCAATGTGGATGCCATTGAACCTTCCATGGAACCACACAGAACCCAAACAAGCAAACCCAAAACCATTCGGACCGATTGCCATCAGATCTTATTCAGCTTCATCCCCATTCGTCCGCAACTTCACACACACGCACACAACGGACAGACATATAAACAGACAGACGGCCGGACAGACAGACAGATAGATAGATAGATAGATAGATAGATAGATAGATAGATAGATAGATAGATAGATAGATAGATAGATAGATAGATAGATAGATAGATAGATAGATAGATAGATAGATAGATAGATAGATAAGATAGATAGGTAGTTAGATAGATAGATAGATAGATAGATAGCCAGACAGGTCACAATTACTTACGATATGTCTGCCTCCCACAGTCATTTTGTTGGCTCAGCTGTGCATTCTCGTGACGACCAGTAGCGTTCATTCACGCTCTGTTGACTGTAATTCGGTCAGTACCTACCCCCATCCCCTGGAACCTCCAGAAAGGTGTGACCTGAGGGGAACCAATCGAAAAGATGCCTTATCTAAATCACGAACAGCCTGAGAAATCAGTGAATGAGAACCTATTTCGAATGTGATACACAAAGTTATAGATATAGTTATATAGAAGGTTGATGCGAATGCTTGGACAGCCCACGACCTGTTTTGCTCTTCCATTTCGGGCTCAGCAGACAGATGCAGTCCCCGAGTTTTCGTCAACCTTATGTTCTACTTGAACCCAAATTGTACAAAATTAGCGGAATACACTCATTTGTTACCGGATACTCGCCTGAAACCCATCTGAATCCCTCGTTTTTAAAACTACTGAATGTGCTGGCCACCAGGCCAACTCATGTTTCAGTTCGGTAGGATACATTATGTAGAATATTGCTCACACGTTTGTGATGCGCCTTTCGGTCGTTTCTTGGGCGAAAATAGCTCACATCTGATTGTTTGAACAATTTCCAGATGAGCACAGTTTCATCCGTAAGTAGAAGTGACAAATAAAATATTTTCAAATTAAACTTGGCTGATTGCGATTTTTCTTTTCGTGCATATGCCTCCTAGTATACACATGTCAAAGTTGGAATACACGTTGCTCCATTGAAGCGTTGGCTGTTTCCCAGTTTGGTTTTTGGTTTTCGCACAGGTGAATAGGATGAATAGGGTGTCCCCGGGGGTTGCGAGTCGCGATCCCCGGTGAGTTCACAGTAACAATAAGGTTACGAACCTGTCATCCATACAATATAGCGGCCTTCTTGACTTGAATGTGTGTGTGTGTGTGCAGACTGTACGCGGAAATTCAACTCTGACTAGAATGTCAGTGTTGTACAGTCCGTCGAAACACAAATGCAAAGTTGGTTCTGATAGACTTATCCCCTGTCGAAACTTCTGAACTGTTCATTGTAAGCAATGCCAAATGTAGGCGCAGCGGTAACTGTCCTTCTTTTGCAGCCCCCGAATGACTCACGAAAAAAACTTTGGTCTGGCTAGGGAACTTTGAGAAAACCGCCATTTGCTTGCTCGGTTTCTGTAGTCCTTTACTCTCCAGGTGCATAGTAGTTCTTGTTCAAGCTTGCGAGTTGTTCGGCTCCGCATGATCCTTCAACCAAATCAAACAGCGTGTCCACGGAGCCATTTGTGGACCTATGGGCATTATGGCTTTGACTCGGATCCCATCCATGGCATCAGAAGCATGTGTTAGCGATCCATCAGAATGGCTTGCAATTTCAAACTGTCCACCCCCCACACGCATGACCATAGGACTAGGCCATCATTTATGCGGCAAATCATCGATAAACCTCGTGTTACGCATTCAAGCAAGTGTAAATCAGCTTTAATAGGAGGAATTGGCCGAAAAAGTAGACGTTACATGATGAGAAATTCGCATTTTGAAGTTGATCAGACCACCAGTCGAAAGAAAGCTGATATAATAGGGAAAAATAAATGGTTTGCTGTCGTTTTGCCTAGCAAACTCGCAATTTGTAGACATATCAAAACCACTGTAGACCAAGCCTTTTTGTTTACGAGTGTTCATTTTCAGTTTTCAAAGTACCTGTCTATGCTGGATGTACAACTTGTTTGAAAATAATTGACTCAAGAAGGTGGCATCGGACATCGAGGACGATAACCACATGATAGTCGCTGGTTTGTTCACTGAGCTGAGCAATTTGATTGCAAGCGTTTCATCACCAGTTGAAGTGACATCATCAGTGCGTTGTTAGGGAGCGTAGCGATGGGTCGGTGGTTTGCACAGTTCAGCAAACAAACCAACGACCATCTATGCTACGAATACACCATGCATTATATACGGTTGTGTGTCTGTGGTGAACTGCATGTGTAATAGACCTTAGGAAGCGCCCTCGTCCCTTCACCCTTCCCTCTTATTCTTCGGATTTTACATCCAATGAAAGGCGCTCAGTAATAGCGTAAAAGACGAAGTTTTCGATTTTTCAAGTGATCAAGCTGATAGGCTTTCTCCGAGTAATTTCTTCTAGACTGCGCCATAGTAGCACTTCGTGACAATTCTAGGTCAATTTTTCTCAGAAATCTGGCAGCTCGAATAAACTTCAAGAACTTCGTCAAACGTTCCAACACATGAAAGGTCGTTCATATTCTACGCGTCACTGAGCATCATATACAGCCAAATGAGCTACGATTAGTTTTCTGATAAACTAATTCATTAGCGGGTAGTCCATCCTACCACGGCGCAGCAGCTGACTGGACAAAAAGAGTTGAATCATAAAATCCAGCCAGTCATGCTCCGCAGGTTAGGTCTGTTTTCATTCTATTACACAACTGTGCTGGGAATCTCAGAGTTTCTGGCATGGACACAGGTCTCGGTGTCAATGTCCCCGTAGTTACTCTCACGTCTGCTTGGATGTGCTGCCCACAGGTGTGGGAACCTCAATCTTGATCGTCTTCCACAAGGATTCAGGGCTTCTTAACTTCTTTCCCAAGGTTTTATTTCCTCATATGTGTATGGCACTTAAGCACTATTAGGTAGCCCTGGTGTATTGCTGTCCATGATGATGATGATTGTGATGACATTCACACATTACAGCTGTCTTTATAAACCAACACCATTATCAACCTATGACCCGATAACCGAGATTAACTGCTCAGCGTTTCGGCGATTGCGGGAGATTCTCTGTCTGATCGTACCAATCAGTAATCGGACCAATCAGATGCGTTGATTTCAGCCTCCAATCAGCGAAACGTTGGCGTGTCCAGTTGACCAATAAAAACGACGTCCTTGTGACGCAAGCTTTTGGTTCAGTCCGCTTTTCTTCGCTTTGCGTGATTCTGCCTGCGATTGAAGAATGTCACACTCGGTGGCTAAAAGCCCAGCAAAAAGCACTGTCCCGTCGCAATCGAACCAGATTAAATGTTCCAAACAGTGCACAGTGCAAATTCACTCAGACCAAATTGGAAGGAGACAACACCATAGAACTGAATACCATATGTTTGTCACTTCAAAACTTGTTATCTATTTAAATTTTCATTTGTCTAAACAGGTAAATTTTATGCCACTGACAACAGAATTTTACCTAGCAAAATACTGGAATGTAATACCCAAGTAACATTCGGATTGTTGGTCCACTTTTAGTTGTGTACCCAGCAAATCGTGAGTTATTGGTCAGCTTATATGTGTAACGTTTTTTATCCGAGGTATTAAATGTCACATTTTGAAGACGCGTGGTCCACACCTGCCCGAGCTTTCCTTGTTTAAAAAGCATTTGGCGATCTGTCCTGCTAGACTGTGTATCTCGAAAATGTGCAATTTGGAACGCACCACATAGCCAGATAACAAAACGATACCCTAAGCAGCAAAATTTATTCACCAACACTAGCGAAAACGGAAGCCTCGGTATGCGACTGTACACACCTCCGTCGAAATGAACCAGAGCTATTTCTTGGTGATTTCTTCTATTTCTTCTTGGTGATTTATTTGGCGCCTTTAATTCGGCAGTTCAGTTCCTCCGTAGTGATCGGATCGTTTCTTTCTTGCCTCGTGGTCTGACTTCATTCCACGTGATTGGTTTATTGATTAAACCTTTAGTAGTCTTTCTGCTTTGATGCAACTGGTCCGTTAGTTGTCATTAGGTTCTGTGATTACCTATGTCATTCATAGTTCTGCAAATACGTAGTCCTGCAAATACGTAGCCGATAGATGCGGCCAATATCAGTATGATTCTTGATCGGCTATTGTGTGGTGCAACATGCCTAACCCCAACACGCTCTCCGGTCAAGGCGCCTGTAGTGACACCAGAAGTTCACGAATCCAAAACAAAGACAATCGCGTCCGTTGAGGTGAGCTATCACAAATTGTGGGCCAGCCGGTTTTGACCAAGTCAGACAGCCCAAAAGTCGCCTGGCCGACTGATCCTGAAATGGGCCTTGCCGTCAGTGTGCAACACTATTTTGTCGTCACCCGGCGAACTTATTCACGTCTACTCCTGACTGACTGACTGACTGACTGACTGACTGGTCGAGTATCGACCAACTTACCTGATTAACGCACTCAAGCTCCACGGTCTCGGGCTGGCAAGCTGGCTAGTCCAGATTTCTGGGACATTCAGTTGAAAGTCACTTAATTCTCTTTCAACTTCATGTTTCATTTTGGAGGATATCCACAATATCGAAAAATCTTCCCCAATATAGCACTACTCATAAATCGGGTTACCTGTTATAGATTGTTTCCTGCGATCAATTGAGCGACGTTGACTTGTGCGCTAAAGCCAGAAAGTCATATCGTTCAAATGGAGGTCTACCAACAAATGCCGTGAATTCAATCCGCGCTGCTGTATACAGCGATTGAGGTGCCCGAGCTGATGTCGGATGTGGCATGCGTGTATGTACTTTTATGTTGGATGAGATGCTGCTCAGTACAACTCAGGAGACTACTGAGGCGCATAGATGCTCGCACCACGATGAGGTACTGTTTGTTCGCGGCGGCTTTTATGTTCCAATTAACTGAGATGGTTGTCAATGCTTTACGGAAATCTTCAACTGCGTAGGAAGTGGGAACTGGCAATATCGTTGGCAGTATGTCGCCGGAGATGTGTAGCGAAACACACCGGAAATATCTTGTAAACCTGCAACTATGTGTGCTGTCCCAAGTTGGTTTCAGTGGTTCCTCACCAGCAGCTACTCACCCCATTTTCTCTGAACCTGACTTATTGCTTAACTACTGAAAAAGACATGAGTAGCGAAATCAATAATTCTTATAAAAGATTGTCAATTCCAAACTCCAGTGCAGACAGCATGCTGGTTTTTTTTAAAAAGATTTTGCCATTGACATTCTGAAAGACCGAATGCCATCGTTGCCTTGTCATTCCCAAATCCGCCTCGCGCACAGATCTATCTGCTTACAAAGAAAAAGGTGAGTCTCATGATCCGGTTAGCGTTTGGCCAGCCTTATCTGGTGTTAAATAACATCGTGCTTTCTGATAAGTAGTTTGTTGGCTAAACTGGGCAGTTTGATTGAACACGTCTCATTGTCATCCACGCTAGCTGAGCTACCAATATTCCGCTCAACAGCAAAAGCACCTTTATTAGTCAGCAACATCAAACTAGCAACTGATGTTTGAAAAGTACCACTTCGAAGCCTCTTTTTCACGTGACTGCTTTATTTAGAAACAAACAAACAACTAACTGGTAAATCCGTAATAAACCATTCTGCTTTCAGAGGGAACAGGCTACAAACCCACCTGGGGGGAACTTATTTGTAAGTTAACAAACCTGATTTGTGGTTGTAATTTGCCCCCAAATTCATTGATATTCATAAAGTTCAAAGCTGGCTGGACGAATGACCTTGAAACGAGAAGTTGTATTGCACTTTGCGCGAATGAGAAGACGCAGATGGGGCCGGATTCAAAATGGGCTTACTTGATGACACCAACATCAGACTTATAGCTGGCACTGACAGATATCAGCTGCTAATGGATTAGGCAGAGGTGTGACGAACATCCTTGGTAGAACATCTGTCCAGCAGATAAAAATCGATGGTTTGAGTCCGTCATCAGAGGTGCCTTTTCGTCCATCCTCCTTGAGCTTCGCGTTTCAAGATCCGTTAAATTCGCCTTCTACATTCAGATGATAACCGACTGACCTTGAGAATGCTTACTATTCGGTGTGATGTTTTGTGTGTGTGTGCGTGTGTGTGCGTGTGTGTGCGGGTGCGATGTGTTGGGGACCGTTCTTACTGTCGTATTTTTGTGAAGTCCTCGTAAAAGTAGACCGTTTGTGACTTGATCAAATAGCCTTGAAGAGTCTAGTAGGCGACGTGTACTGCACGTCTGCTGACTTTGTGCGTTCAACACGGGCTAATTGCAGCAGTCCCCTGTGATCAATAGTCGGAACATCTCCTGCGTCAGATGACCTCTGGAATTCTAATCCGAGATGTTTAGTAAACCGTTGTAGGATTCTGCAGGTCAAACTAGCTATTTCTGGAGAAAAGACTACTTCAAGGAATGCCTTTTTCGCACTTCGGACCTTAACCCAAGTGAGAACAACTTCTCGAATGTCAAAAGCTACCGGTGAGCATGTCACATGAGAATCTGATGTTGTGGCTGGGTGGCTAAAGAACTTCAGAGAATCCTATATCCCTCTCGCTTTGTCCTCCAAGCCGTCAGATGTTAACAATTTTTGTATTCTGTGTTGTGTTTACCTGTTGATACATCAGTTCGAGGTTTTTTCACCATTGCAACATCAGAGTTATCCACCTACCGGATTTTTCCTTCCTTATAAGGCTTATACAATCAATTCAAAACTGTCGTCAGGTTGAGCAGTCTGTCGAGTCGATACTGATAGGACTTTGTGAACATTATATATATATATATATTAGATCCATAGTTCGTGTGGGTTGGTGTCGGCGAATCCGTAACGAGGCAGTTAGAAAGCGCGTTTTCGGTTGTGCAAT